TTTTTTTTTTCATGTTGATAAAATTGGGTTTATTGAATTTGAGAAGTAGGTTTTAGAGCCGTTTGAATTATCTAAAATTGATGTATTAATAAAAAAAATTGGCTCCTAAATTGAATTCATATCAATAAATTTGAAGTAATTAGCATAAAGAAAGAAAGAAAAGAACTATTTAATTATATTAGGATTTTTTTTAATTTTTTTTTTTTTAGATTTGTGTTTATTTCGAGAGTAAATTATGTTTCTAACTCAAATAACCAACAACACTAAATCCTATATGAGATAGGGATATTTCTATGTTTAGTGCAATCTTTTGTAGTATTCTAGTTTTGTATTGCATTATTTGTCTATTTACATCGTTCATTGATTAAAAAAATGATTAATTTATATCAAAAGACAAAATTAAGGAATATCAATTATTAACATAAACCAAGAATTGACTATAAACGGGATAATTGAGGATTAGTACATTAACTTCGTATTAATACCAACAACTACATTATACAATCTCAATTAAGAATATCAAAATCTCAATTCACAGATTCGGTAAAAAATAACGATACGTATATACAACATGTAACGACCTGAAATTCATCATATTTTTATATTTAAAAGATCAAAGCATATGAGTCTTAACTGGTGTCAATTATAATTTTATTTAGTCCATGTTTGATAAGAATTAAAATCTAGATTTCAATTTAAATCAAAGTCAATAATTCATTTTAACCACATATTTCATATAACCCACAACATTTCAACCACATATTTCGTCAAATTTTATTAAAATCTACTAAAAATCTAATTTTAATCTCCACCATACAAGGGACTTAAGTTGACATTGAAATTAGCGGTACAAAATAAAACAATCATTTTTGACTAACTATTTTGAGTCCTATGTTTAATAGTTTTTTTTCATGTAGAAATATACGTCACAAAGCTAGTCGCAAATTCTTTGAACATACCAAGAACCTACCTTGAAGATCGGAAACTATAGATTAAAAAATAAGCCAAAAAAGTTGACAAACATGAATTAGATTTATTAAACTCAT